AGAGCACAGTCCCTACAGTCAAACATGGTGGAGATTCACAGATGTGTTGGGGGTTGCTTTGCTGCTTCTGGCATTGGATGCTGTAATGATATGTGTTTCTGAAGCTATTGTGTGTTTCTTAGAATGGTTTATGTAGTCTTATGATTGTCTTAATGGCATCCATTTTGAATCAATGTCTGTGTCTGTGAAAGAAATTTCACATGCTGTTTTCGACTGCCTAGCTCTCAGTCCTTATCTGGTTGCTAGTATGGCTGAAGAGCTGAACTTCTTGTAGTCATAACAAGATATAACACCTGCAAACTCTCATGAGAATCTGAGGCGGGACAAGACACTTTTTGCTTGTTCCTAATTGGTCATCCTGTGGAGGAAGAAGAAGGGGGGCAAGTTGTAAAATGGAGTGTGGCTGAGACAGAGAAGAGCCTTTTTCCCAAAATGGATTCTAATTCCTGAAATGGAGCTTTTTCCTAACATTGACCTGATGGACTACAATTGGACTTTGCAGTTCCTGATGGACTATGGATTTCCTGGATACGTAAGAATGTAGTTTTCTTTAAGAAAACATGGCTAAGCCTATACTTTATTTTAGCTTAGTAGTCATTTTATTTGTTTTATTTTTCTTAGCTGGAGTTTGAGGGGTGATCTAACTGTCTTGGTTGGAAATGTTACTAACTGATTTACTTTGCAATAAACTGAATTCTGTTTAGAACTATATTTCTTAATAAAAACAGTAATGAACATGAATGCATGCATTGGTCTCTTGAACAGAATAGCCTAATTAATTGGCCAAGTATTTTGCTACCACAGAGCCCAGATTTCACCTGAGTACTAACTCATGGGATGTTTGTGTTTATTGCCTTTCTTAACAAAGGGGATGGACTTGAGGAAAGAGATTTAGTGCAGGGCCTGGCTGAGTTTTGGGCTCATCTTAGCCACATAGGGACTGGCTAATCTCTGGAATCTCTCTATCCTCGGCTCATCTGATCTCCTTGGAGACGGGTGTAGCTTACACCCCCAACGGGGCCAGTGAGGGTGAAATTGCTACCTTTGCTCCATAAGACGCACAGACTCCCCCCACTTTTTTTGGGGGGGAAGTGCATCTTATGGAGCAAAAATACGGTACCTAACTTCTGGAATTGCAAAGGGGCATATCTTATATATTAAAAAAGAGAATTAAATTAAAATAAGGGAGCACTAATCAGGGCAAAGGCATAATTTGGTGTTATTTTTTTAATTTAAATTGAAGCTAAATATAAGTTTGAGGTAAATAAATGGTACACAATGAACATGCAGTAGATATGATATTGTTATAGATAGAATAGAAAATGTGGAGATAGAAATGGCTAAATAACTATACAAAGAAAATCTGTATAAGATGCTCTAGATAATATATCATGTGTTAAGAACTTACTCAATTATCATTAGCATAAATTACAGTTTGTCGGTTAAATTACCTCAAATTATAAAGATTTGGAACTGGAATGAATTTTATTAAGTATGATATTAGAGGATTTTGAAAACACTGTATACTATGAGAGTAATGTTATGATAATAGCCAATACTGTATACTAAAATACATACATGGATGGTTTGAATGATTGGAAGATGTGCGGAATTTGGGGGGACAACTGGGAAGACACCAAGTTGCAAAAAACAAATAATTGTAAGCAACCCATGTAACACAATGTTTGATAAGCATTAACCAAATGTAGATAGATTGAAAAACCAATAAAATGTATTTTAAAAAGATAAAGAAAGACAAAGGTGTCCTTTGTTGAAACTCAACAAAGCCTGGCTCCCAGCACTGAAAAATACAGCCTGCAAAATGTCAACAAACTCTACCCAGCCACAAGGACTGCACACAAAAGACCACCAATCACAGTAACAGATCATCTCTCCCTCTTATCACAACAATACACCCACAGCAAAAAACACGCTGATCACCATAATCACCCAATCTCCTGAAAAGGATAAAAGCTGATACCACAGCTATAAATAAAACGTTAGGAATAAAAACCCTCAGAACATGGCCAAACAGCCCAAAAAACCTACAACAACCATTGGATCCCGGCCGTGAAAGCCTTCAAGAACACAAATTAAAATTTTTTTGTTTGCGTAAAATATTTTTACCCTGCCTTTCTCATTGAAAAGGACTCGAGGTGGCTTACAACAATGAAAAACTATATTTAAAGTTGAAAACAATGAGTGTACAATGGTGATTAGAAATCATTAAAAGGCAATATTTAAAGCTAAGGACAATGGGCATAAAAAGGCCTTTGAATTGTGCCCGTAAACTGATTGGTAGCCAGTGGAGCTGCTGAAACAGAGGGTGGGTATTTGATCTCTGTTACCAGCCCCAGTCAGCAATCTGGCTGCTGCATTTTGGATCTGCTGAAGTTTCCTGACACTTTCTCTCAGCAGACCAACATAGAGCATGCTACAGCAATCCAGCAGGGAAGTACAGTGGGGTCTCAACTTACGAACTTAATCTGTATTGGAAGGCAGTTCTCAGGTCGAAAAGTTCTTAAGTCGAATCTGCATTTCCCATAGGAATGCATTGAAAACCATTTAATCTGTATCTGCTCTTTTATTTATTTATTTATTTATTTATTTATTTATTTATTTATTTATTTATGTATGTATTTATTTATTTATTAATTTATATGCCGCCCACACTACCCAGAGGTCTCTGGGCGGCTTACTTTTCGTCCATAGAAACTAATGGGAAGCTGCTATTCCGCCTTCTGCCACTAGAGGGGGATATTTTTTCTTTTTTCCTTTTAACCTAAGATGACTTAGCTTTAAAAAAGGGGGGAAAAAGAGTTCGTAACTCGAATCTAAGTTCGTAAGTCGAGTCCATATATTCCTATGAGAGCGGTTCGTAAGTCGAAACGTTCGTATGTCGAGCCGTTCGTAAGTCGAGACCCCACTGTAATAAGGGTGTGTGTCACAGTGGCCAGATCAGATCTCTAAAAAAACGGACATAGCTGGTGCACTGTTTTAATTATGCAAATGCATATCCTGGCCACCACTGAGACCTGGGCATCCAGAATGAATCCAGGATCATCCCTAAGCTGCACACCATTTTTTTTTCAATGAAAGTCTAACCCATCCAGTACAGGCTGTATCTCTATTCCTTGATCTGCCTTTCAACTGATCAGAAGCACTTCTGTCTTGTCTATGTGAGAAATGCTCACACCCTTGTTACTTACTGCAGTAACCAGACAACCATGAATACAAGCAGCTCTCCTTTATTAAAAAGCACTTATGCAAATATAGGAAGCATGATATTTATCCCCTTCTCCTGGCTGCATGGTCCCTCCCTTGTTTCCCCCCCATTGATCTGGGTAATCCAAAATGTACAGCCTATCTGGTGTGCCTAATCTAATCACAGGAAGTCCCACCTTTGTTTATATCTCCCACTCCTCTCTTTACCTGGACCCCAGAGTCTTATTTATTTCTATCCTTATTTGGTATATGATCCCTTTTCCTAACCTCCCTGCGGTCATTCTAACTTCAGTTCCTTCATTATTATCTAGGCTTACTCACTCAATCATCTTGTCAGTACAATAGGGTACCTCCCTTATTTGTACTTTTGTCTTGTAATTTCTCATGACTTCTCTAAATTCCTTGTGTTGGCTAAATAACAAAGAGCATGTACTGATTTTTTTTACCATGACCATTTACTCAATCATCCTTGCAAAAGCAGCACTGATTCCTCTATTTCTCTCATCTGGATTAAGTTTCAATTTATTCACCCTAATCCCAGTCCATTACCGATACCAAACACTGATATAGAGCCAAAACGGTTTCCTCTGATTTAGGTGCCAAGGAGAAGTAGAGTTGGGTGTCATCCGCATACTGGTGACACCAAACCCCAAAACTCTGGATAATCTCCCAGTGGTTTCATGTAGGTGTTAAATAACATAGGAGACAAAACAGAAGCCTGAGGGACCCCACATGTCAGCGGCCATGGTATCAAGCATGAATCCCCCAATCCCACCTTCTGAGTTCTCTCTTCCAAGATGGACTGACTGGAGCCATCATAAAACAGTGCCCCCAAGTCTTATTCTAGAGAGACAGATCAGGAGGATGACAGTATCGAAAGCCGCTGAGAGGTCCAGCAAAACCAACAGGGACACAGATCCCCTATCTAGTTCCTGGCATAGGAAAGCAACCAAAGATGTCTCTGTTCCATAGCCAGGTCAGAAGCCAGATTGAAATTGATCTAGATAATCTGTCTCATCCAGAAACCTCTGGAGCTGAGAAGCCACAACCTGCTCTAGCACCTTCCCCAAGAATGGGATATTAGATACCAGTTCATAATTATTCATTATTGTGAGGTACAAAGAGGGCTTTTTTTAAACAATGGTCTTACTATTGTCTCCTTTAAGCATGATGGGATCCTACTATGTCACACGGAGGAATTCACCACTCCTCCTACTCAATCGGCCAGTTCCTTTCTGGAAACTTTTAAGAGCCAGGAAGGGCAAGGATCCAGAAGGCATTGGGTAGTCCTCATTTCCCCAAGAATTTTCTGGAGGACAACTTTTCTATTTATGGTCTGTCAATACCTTATACTTCTTTCTTTCCCCATCACAAGACAAACCTGGTTTTAAATATAATTATGATTCAAGCCCTCAGATCATTTGCTACCATTATGTTTCATCAATAACATCTGGGAATGAGAAGTGGACATGTCTGACAAAGTGGACCTTGAAAGCTCACGTTAAAATACAGTGGTGCCTCGCATAGCGACGAGAATCGGTGCAGCAAAAATCGCTGCAAAGCGATTTTGCCGCTATGTGATTTTAAAAAGCCCATAGGAATGCATTGAAACCCCTTCAATGCGTTCCTATGGGCTTCAGACTCACCTTTAAATGAAAATCCTCCATATGGCGGCCGTTTTCGCTGCCTGGTAAGCGAGGAATCTGTCCCAGAAAACAGCGGACGGCCATTTTTTTACCCGGTGGCCATTGTGGAACCGCCGATCAGCTGTTAAAAAATCATCGCTTTGCAATGATCGGTAAGTGAAACAGGGTACCGATCATTGCAAAGCGATTTTTCCCTATTTAAAATCTTCGTCGCTATGCGATTTCATCGTTAAACGGGGCGCGTGTTAAGTGAGGCACCACTGTATAGTATTTAAGGTGCCATAATGTTTTTGTCTTCTTTATTTTTGTTTTGTTTTTTCCTCATATGCTAACACAAAGACAGCTACCTCTTCTAAAACTACTATCTGGAAATTACTATTTTTTCCACAATGATGTTGTGCTAATTGAAGGAAATGATTCTTTATTCCAAAATACAGGAAAACATTTACACAGATTCACTTCAATGTACTTCTCTTGGCTATTTCAGAAGGAAGAATTGGTGTTGTTCCTTCAACAAATTATGTATGTCCTTATGACAGTAAAGAAGGGATGGACAGCTGTGGTCCTCCATATGTTTCTTGACTATAATCTCCATAGTGCCTCAGCACTGATTATATCACCTAGGGGTTATGGAAGTGGCAAAGTAAGTACACTGGGCCACAGTTGACTATTCCTGTGGGCAAGAGGAAGAAACAGTGCTATATGTGCTATCATTCAGCAGTTTTTGGAGAGATAGAAGAAACTGATTTATCTCTTACGTAATTTCTCCCTTTCCAAGATGTTATTTACAGCAATCCCTGTCATGAATACAGTATCTTACTAGAATCAGTTGCAAATTTCACATCCTATGATATACACATGCATAAGCACCTCCTTCTGCAAAATTGTCAAAGGCTACT